GGCAACCTCTCATCGCGATGTGAAGCGATCGAAAAGAACCGCCGCGGCGTAGATGCGAACTCCGATCGATCGATTGCCGCAGATGTCAACCACGAGATCGAGAACTTGTTCATGCGTGATGCAATCCCGCATGCAATGTGACTGCTCCACTATTGATCTACATCGGCAGAAGTATTTTGGGAAAGAAAAGCAAACTCTAATTGAGAAACTGGTGGGTGTCTGTTCAACATATTGATTGACCCGTCTGCGGGAGGTAACTCTCCTGTCCACTAATAGAGCAGGGAACTCAAATCCCATCCAACAATTAACCCGTGTTCTGCAGGCACAGATCTGGATTCCTCCCAACTAATACCTAACCTTAATATAGGTAACCAACTCACCCTCCTCCAATGCCGCACCAGTGATAGGATCCTCACTATCGGGCCCCAACAGCCGGAACAACCAATACGGCAGCTTCGATCCAGAATCAGAGTATTCCTTGATAGCCCAAGTAGTGACATTGTTGGCGCCAATAAACAGGCCGTCCTGCTGCGTGCCGTTCACATAGTGGTGGTAAAAGTCGACCGGGACGGAGGCCTGCTCGTCCAATCCCCACATCAAGAGCGCGGTATAGGGGATAGAACTGATGTTCAATGGCTGGAAGCTGTATCCGCTCACGCCGGTCTCAACGAGACCATTGAGAATAGAAGGAGAGGAGTCGTCACAGATGATGGGGTTCTTGGCTTCGTCGTTTTCGGAGCCGATGGCGATCTAATCAAGCATTTATTAATACTAAGGGACAAAGTTGATGATCAAAAGGGGCAATGGCCATACATATCCCATATGGATACCAGTCTCTCCAGCAGTGCGGAAGACAACGCTGGTATCACCGAAACCCTCAATAGGGCAAGCCTGATCCGGCGCGGTAACGTTCTTGCAGTCGCTGGCAGCAAGCATGAAGTAGCCGGTGGTTCCGGTCTCCGGGGAGTACGAATTGATGTTGGTGCATCCTCCGGCGGCGCGAACGGGTTGCACGGCCGAAGCGTAGGCAGAGCCTGCGAGCATGGAAACTCCGGTCAAGATAGCGGGAATCATGATGGTGATGCGGATAGTGCTTGTGTTCTGGAGATCTGAGCCTGGAATACAAGTAAACCTCAACGGGTCAGACAGCCATATTTATACTATGCTCGTGGCACAACATGCTCACGATCGGTAGTATTGGCCGAAATCGCTCTCAAAAATGCGACTCTAGAACAAATTCCCTGATTCTGTTAGCATCAATCCATCATAACCCAGTTGTGCCTGAATAGGCAAAAGACCCATACAGAAGCTCGTGGGGGCCGTTCAGGAACCAGCGCGTATTGGTGGTCCGTTTAATTCGGATGGGGCGGATACGACGGCTCGATCCGTCAATTTTGGCTGACAGAGGAAACTTCTCCTTTACCGACGCCCCATGACTTAGGAGGGTTTGAGGCGATTGCCACCATGGAAGGAAGCAACTAATTGCTTTGGACCCTGACCGAGGCCTTTGGTGATGGATGCTGCCTGCAGGGGTCGCGGTGATGCCTGCTTGAACGTGCTTAGTGCATAAATAGTCTTGTATCTTACTGGACCGTCAGTGAAACATGTCCAGTAGGATATTTCGTCAACTATGACTGTGAGGATGCTTGGCTCGGCAATGGAATTGTCCTCATGTCTCGTGGGGCGCATGAGGCTGAAGTTGTCTGCTAAATGTGCATCCATCCGGTCGGAAATTCGTCTGAAATGTCCGAGAGAGCGACCGTAGGCATTCCGTAACTGCCTAAGGAACGCAATACAACCTTAGACAATGTCATGAGCCATTGGTGTATTAGGCATCTCTGAGCATTTATTATGTCGGGCTACAACTCCAAATAAACCTATTGCCAATTTTTTTTCGATATTTTTCTTTTGGTTGTGTCTATCCCGTCGCATTCCCTACTAAGCCAGCTAAATGCCTCATCGCTACGGCTGCACCTTGCATATAACTGTGTCCGGTTCTGCACAAGCAAGCTCTCCTCAATATTAGCACTGTTGCTATGTTATTTTATTTTTTACTCCAAGCAAGCTGGAATTTGAAAAGAGACGATACCTGTTAGACATCACCCATAGACAATGTACGTTCCGCCAAAAAGTCAAGGATTCCGTTTTCCGCGGGCAGGATAACCTGTCAGTCCAAAACGGCCGACGGTTATCCTCATAGTACTCACAATTATAGACTGTGAATCTGATAGACGAAGCATTTATGCTATGTGTACGGCTTTGGTTTATTCAGGGATCAAAGCACATAACTACTACTAAATATATTGCTCGAAAGAACAATAATAGCGGTTATGTATATCAGTATATTCCCACATTGCCTTTTCTCAACCTTCTATTCTATTTTTACTAGTAATTGACAATATATGTACCCGGCTGGCTTGATTCGATAGCATCACAAGTCCGTCCCTCAAAATACTTTGCACCCATATTTGATCATATCATAACTCTTAACCTCTTAACACGTAAAAGGTTTACTTATCTCCCCCGACCGAAACTCATTAACCTATAATAACCCACGTTAGCCTTTGATCTTCCTAGTATCCATATAGAAACCACCTACCAGCTCCGCAATACTCGAGTAAGTACCGCAACCGAAAACAATCATACCGACAATAAAGACCACCAAATTACACATCGCAGGCCGTAGATTGTGTTTCTCATACCACGCCCCATCCCTCAAAAGCACAAACCACATCACGGGAGGAATGTAAAACGACAGACCGGATACAAAAAGTGCCGAGATGATGGACAGTAGCTCCGAGAAGATTGGTATAGCCTCGGCAATGACCCAGGCGAGAACAGTAACAAGGGAAATGAGACCCAACCAAGTCATCCAGCCCTTCCGAGTATTGATAAAGCGAGCGGCCGAGTCATGGTAGAACTTGCCGTGAATGTATCTGCAGACGACCGTCACGTTGATAGACCCGGAGATGAAGATGACTGGAAGAGCTATGCCGAAAACCACTCTTGAAATGACTGGTCCGGCTGATAGTAGGGCAGGAGATTGCACGCCCTGGCCCACAAAAGCGTAGATAAGCGACCCTGTCAATGTGTAGATGACGATTTGAATGCCTCCTAGCCACCATAGGGTTTTGATGTAATCCTCCGGAGTATGCATGTCTTCCATGAAGGAAGGCAGGCAGCCAGCGAAAGAATACGCGAAGACAATGTTGTTCGCGGCGACAATTGCTTGCGAGAAAGTGATCCCAGCTATGGGCCACGCAGACCACGGGATATGATCAGTGGAGAAGGTGCCGGTGGAACTGGAGCTTTGGATGCCAGTGGCAATTACCGTGACTCCGATGGCCAAGATAATCGAAGCGAAATCAATATAACCAAGAATTGCGATTTCCGCAAAGGATGGAGGAATGGCGAGGATCATCAGAATGGCAGCGGAGACAATACTGAAGACCACCGAACACACGCTGCTTTCAGTGATAGTCTGGAACGCAATTGCGCCGGTCAAGCAGTGAGAGCCAATGACAAAGACCAGTAGGGCGACAAAGCTGCCAACAAAGATCTTCCCTCCCACATTTCCCAAAAGAAGATGGCCAACATCCGCGTAGTGCCCAACCTCGGGGTACTTTAATTTCACCTGTCCAATGTTATAGCCCGCATACATCGCTACCAGTCCGATACCAATTGTGAGAATGACACCCGCAACCATGCCCAGCGTAGCAAAGGCAGAAGGCAGGCCCAAGCTCCCGAGGGCAATTGCCTCCACTATGGAAATAACCGTGAGGCGCTTCCATCCTAGCCGGCGAAACCTAGCATTGCCCTCTAAAATGTATTGGGTCTCGGGATCGGACAGATCCGGAGTCTTCGGAAGGCCTTCGCTGGCCATGAAGACGCGAGTAATCGATTGGCGATGGGGGTAATGTATGAACTGAGTATGAAGTAAGTAGGGCCCCTCTAAGTTGTTGAGATGTTCAAAAATGTTCAAGAAAAGAACCGGGGGGATGGGGGGTAGAGATAATCAGATGATCAGATAAGATGGAAGGAACTGATTGCTTCCGAGGGAATTTCCCGGCCGCGCAACCCCACCCTCGCTGCAAAACCTTTCCAACACTAAGACATCACTAATCCACTTCGGAGGACTAGCCGCTTACCCCTCACGGATTCTCCAGTTAGAGATTTGTCTTTTTATCCTGCATCTGGTGCGATTGACTCGTAAATCCCAAGCATTTCTGAGAGATTTAATTCCCAAAAGCACGAGCGAAACATGGCTGTTTAGAATCTTATCTTTCATGAGGCGAAGATGGAAAACATATTATCCGAGGCGCAAGATGCATTCGTGGCGAGAATACGATGATAGTAGAAGCCAAGGGCGGGTCGCCGATATCAAATAGCCCCGTTCGGACCAATTGAGAATCTATGGAGGATGATAGGGATCCTGCCAAGTCATTAACCAGTTTTAACCCCCTCTCCGATGTTATAGACGATTACTCAAAGTATGCTTCACAAGAAGATTCGGTAAAAGCCTGCAAGAATCTTTGCTCTACTCAAACTGTCAGCGTCATTATCCTTCGGTGGAATAGGCCTGCACTTTCTTTTTAGCAAAATAGTGATCCTGCATCAAGATTGCATGATGTCTTAATGTTCTGCCAACCAAGGTTGCATGAGATTGCTATGCGTTCGTTTAAACTCAATTTGACCTTCGGGAAATCAGGATGAAAACTGAGACACACAAATTCTTCGTTATGAAAGATCAAATGTACACAACTCCATATTATTAGCTCGAAACTGGTTGAATCACAGAAAATAGTAGTCTACATGACTAATTAGAGATCATGTCACATGTAACCTGTACTTCTCTTCTCCGCTTATATCTCCTATCTTTTAGTGCTATCTCCCCTCCAGTCCCCGCAAATAATAATAACCAAAAGGAAAATTCAGAAGATCAAGAGGGGTCTGAGCTGGCGGTATGAGGTCCCGTAATATCGAGCCGAGACAAGATGTCATCAAAGCGCCATAGAAAATGATTCAATGAATGGCGCAAATACTTCCTCTGTGTGTTGCCGTCTCCAGTCGCCCGGTCTCTCATTTTCTGTGGAGGTCACTGCTCGGCGACTAGGGGAATCGTCTTGAAAACCTGGACTAGCCCGGCGTTGAGGAGCTGGTACCATACCCTCGGATGATTGATGACAAGGTTCTTCCTTTCGCTCCTGGTCCCTAGATGATTGCGATGATGGTCGGGAATCACCATCCTCTCGCTGCCGGTTCCAGGAATAAGGAGCAGAAGCAACAGAAAGCCGAAGCCGCTCGCGGGATAGCCGCAATGCTGCTAGTCCCTGTGCAATGTATTCCTCATTATGCTGGTGCCTCAGATTGGGGTTGTATTGGAACCCGAAGACTGGGTATCGATTGTGCTCCGGATCCGACACGCCGTCGAGATATACGCACGCGTAATCGGTTTTATTTCTATGCAAGCGATCTTCGCGCCGGATGTCTGCGTGGGTTCGATGCGGCCACCGGCGGGGGAGGGTGTGGATCAGGTTGCGGACGTAGAGCGGGAAAGTATTGGGTGCAAAGCGGAAAAAGAGCTGGCCACTGCGGTAGGAGTCAGGGGATGCCCACTCCTCACCAATGGTCGTGTCTTGTTGGACCCGATCCCTGAGTTTGTCGCGCGCATCGTAAAAACAGATGTGGTGTGGTGTCTGATGGGATGGCAGTTGTTTGTTCCCGTCTGTGCTTTCATCCATTAAATTGGGCAATGAGCCGGCCACGTATTCGAAGAACACCACGGGGTCTCTGGTGTTTGGCCACGCAGGGTCAAACTCGAAAATGGAGAGTCTCACCCCTCGGAGACGCTTCAGGCGACAGAACTTGAGGAGACCCCCATCCCAAAAAGTGTCTCGTACCGCCTGTACAGGAAAATAAAGATAAATCTGGATAGAGATGGCAGCGAGATTGGGAAAACCGAGACTAATTAACGAGGAAGTCTCATTCCATTCAGCGAGATGTGTATCCATTCCTTGCTGGGGCGGAACACTTATTTTGAGATATTGTATCGATTGAACTTGCCAGCGATGCAAGCAAATTGGAAATTTGGAGAAAGTTCCAACTTGCTGGGTGAAAAAATAGTGCGCATATAGGGTATATGTCGGGCTTCATAGTAGATCTGACGGCAGGTGCGAAGGAAAGAAAGGTTCATAGAATTATTCTCAAGGTCCTGCGGCAGAGGATAGTCTTGAGACGCGATTTGAGGTGCGGTACCAGTGTACTGGTCAGATTGGAGGATCTTCTGTTGTGTTGTCACACATTCTGGGTGGTTGCAGGTTGCGGGTATGATTGGTGGATAGTGCCGCATGGATTTCGCTGTCTTGGATGGAATCTTATAAAATAGCTCCTCGGGAATAAAACCAAGCCTTCGCTTGATCAATTCCTAAAAGCGTACTGAGGAGCATCCGTCCAAAAACATCCACATCAGACGGTCGCGCGCATTCAAGCACATGGCCAAAATCTGCATTGCAGACCACAAAATGCTGATGCTCGTTCCATGCAACTGCAAAGTCGAATGAAGTCTGCGCATTCCACAGGGGTGCGGATAGGTACCATGAGTGGTTGAGACCGAGACGGCCGTCGCAGCTAAGGTTGTTCTCGCCCGTCACGAAACGGTATACTTGCACCAGATAAAACGTGAAAAGGGCGGTGCGACGCGCAGATTCCTGGTATACCCATTCTTTCCAGGACTGCATGACGGCATCCATGGGCGCGGTAAGAGCAGTATCAGGCTCTGCGGCTGGGAAGTATATATAATTCAGAAGGTTGAAAGCTGATGTTTCCAGCATGGGGATAAAAGGCTCGGCGGACAGTCGGGCATGGATATCCCCGTCGAACAGGCGCATTATCTGATACAGTATCAGTGATTGAGTGTGTGCAAGTGCCTCGAGAGGCGTGCTCGGTGGCGGAGAAGCACGCAAATCGTCAATGCGGGTTTTGAAGGAAGAGAGGATAACAGGAGCATTGATATCATTTCGAGCCATGTAGAGGGCGCAGCAGGCGAGAGCGTCTGCAATATTTAGCACAAAGCCGAAATTGAAAGCAATAAATGTACCTTGCATTGACCTGGGCATGCCATCCTTGTACAATTGGCGATGACACCAGGGTGTCTGGCTTTCGAGGACCATCATTTTGGGTGCTTGTTTCAGCACATCCATGCCGAACTGTAGGCGTTCCGTGATTATTGTCGATATGGGCAGCGAAGACCTTGTCTTGATCACAGTAGTACTTGGATTGTCATGCGTTAGCGACATCATAGGAGGTTGCAGAGGTGGGATTTGGGCCAGTAGATTGGCAACTTCGGTTTCGGGGCTCGGAAGCTCGAGGGGACATGATAACTGCTCTACATCTCGGAAGTGCGTGTTGATATCGGTCCCACACGGGGTTTCGGCAAAGGCGGGAAACAAAGGGTCTTCCAGGAGGTTTACTGCAAGCGATGCTGCCTCCATGTCCATGCTTTGTGGTTGTCTACCAGGATAGACACAGATCTGATTGCGGCGGGCACATCGGAAGCAAGCTGGCCAGGCAAGATCACAGCGTCGCTTGGCTACCTTGCAGGCCTCGCAGGATTTTCGCCGCGGTGGGGCGTTGGTACGCTCTGCCGCTGTGTTCATGGGTCTCAATTGATTGAAGAATTGCGAGGCTGCAATAATTATGGAGAGCTGTGTGGACAGTGAAAAGCCCAACGTAAGATGGCTGCGGAGGAAACAATCAGTGGGGCGGCGGAGTTCCGCCCGCTACTTTAGCTCAACCAATCATACTTGGCCCAGGAAGTGGAACGCCGCGGTGGACTATGTATACTACTAATACTCTCCCTGTGCAATATTTTAATGCTCGCCTGTATAAATAGCTAGATTGTCTTCCTCCTTTCAAAGTACTCATCAAAAAGATCCTACTCTTACAGTTCATTCGTATACCGTTTTTGCTGCCAACCTCTCCAATCAGTTTCAGAACAAACTTCATCACCAAACCACCACTCAACATGTCCGTCTTCGTCTGTGGCGCAACCGGCACCCAAGGCGGTGCCATAGCAAAGTACCTCCATGAAAAGGGCATCAAAGTACACACTGTCACCCGCACCCCGCTCTCCACAAAGTCACAGCACCTGCGCGCCCTGGGTGCTGATGTGATTGCGGGTGACTACAACAACGAAGCATCCCTCCGAGCCAGTCTCGCCAATTGCACTGGTCTCTTCCTGAACATGGTCCCCGACTTCCAAAACCCCGACATCGAAGTTATCCGCGGCCGGCGACTCCTCACTCTCGCCAAAGAAGCTGGCGTCAAGTATGTTGTCTACAGCAGCGCCTTCGCCGTCAACGAACCCCACAAGATCCGCACCTTCACTCCAACTGGCTTCGTCGGGAAGATGCTGCTACCTAAGCAGGCGCTTGAAAATGAGATTCGGACAATGGGTTTCGAGCGATGGACTATTCTGCGTCCTGGAAGCTTTATGACAAACTTCCTAGCGCCGATGGTGTATATGTATTCTGGATTAGTGGATAAGGGATGTTGGATTACTGCGTGGACGACGGAGACGAAGATCCCGCTGGTCGATCCGATGGATATTGGGAAATTTGGAGCAATGGCGCTGACTGATGAGAAGTTTCATGGCAAGGAGATTGAAATTGCGGGGGAGTTGTTGACCGTTGAGGAGATAGTGAAGGAGCTCGTGAAGGCCACAGGGCGGGATCTCAAGGCTGCTTACTTAACTGAGGAGGAGATTGAAGCCCAGGCTGCTGTTAACCCGCTGATTGAAGCGCAGTTGGCGATGCGAGATATGGCACAGTTTGCGGATTTGGAGGCAACAGAGGAGTGGGATCTCGACCTGGGAACATTCGAGCGGTTTCTGAAGAGAGAGAACGAGAAGGTTATGAAGACGTTTTCTATTTAGATGTTGGTTTGGCTTTATGTACCTAGTAAATATCTTCCGATTTGGTTGCAACGTGATAATATCATTCTTATCAACCTTTGAACCTCCCATTAATTGTAAAGGCTCTGCTGATTGAGGCGTAAGTCTGTAGTCAATCTGTAGCCGATCTCCATAGTTATCACATGATCAATGTGAGAGATATGTTCACGAGTGTCTCGACTTCCAACAATGTAGTATTATGAAATGAAGTCCACAGTAATGCGCCATTCCCAAACAATCAGACACATGTATCATTTCTGACCCTTTCAAAGCTTCCCATGTACGGCACGGGACACATTATCTCCCAAAAATATCATTTTGTCCTTCCGTGACTCAACATCCCACTGAGATGGTGGCTTTATAACAGAGTCCGCAAATGACTCAACATATCTTGATGCCACGATCACAGCCACCTCATTTTCATCAGTGCAAGCATCATACATCAGTAAACAAGAGCAGACGATGGCCTGCAGATGACCAATTATCTCCCTTCCACGCCATAGCAGCTCCGCCTTGTCAGCCCTATTTGCAATTTGAACGAGACTTTCTAGTCTTCTCGTGACGAATGCACACTCATCCGGGAACATTCGTTGACAATGTTGCAGTATATTGTGCACCCACTGCCCGAAGACGTTCTCGATGACTTTACCATCACCGAGCCGTCGGTCCATAATGACTCTCGCCACATCCTCAGCCATCACACTAACCGTACCCTCCCAGATCGGATTGACCAGCGTGTCTCGGAAGATTCTGGCTACGTTGAGAATCCCACCATCCTCGTTGTTTTCGCAGTAGCCGACCCCTCCTAGTCCTTCCATGCATTCTCGGAGTCCCTGGACAGAACCCACGCTGGTCAGGGCCTTTAGAGCCGGCGTGATGAGACGAAGCAAAGTCGCAGCTTGCTTCTTATCACGCGGGATTACGGCAGCAGCTTTGGTATTACGAACCATTAGATCCCAATCCTGCTCAACGGTTCCCTGCAGGGCAATGCCGAAGAAAACCCAGTGCATGGCCGCCGCGTATTTCACTGTCTCAGCCGCCATCCAGCGCACGTGCTGCGGGACGTCTTCAAGAAGTGAGCCTTGGACCTTGCGAACCCGCGTATATGCCCGGCAAATGGCCAGTCCGCGGCCCCATCCTGCCGTCGAACCGGCCGCTGTATAGAGGCGGGTAATATTGAGGATGGTCGCAACCTCTTTTACACCTCTGCCTTCTTCCCCGATCAGCCAGCCCCGCACACCCTTGAGCTCCAACTCCGCTGTGGGCAGTTGCTTGGTGCCAACTTTGTTCTTCAGCCGTTGCATCCGAATGCCATTCAACTCAATCCCGCTCGAAGATGAGGCCGATCGGCGAGCACGCCGCCGCACTGGTGCATAGAACAAACTGAGTCCTTTGGTTGTCTGCGCCAGCATGACCGTCATTTCCGAGTCGGTCGCACTGCTGAACCACTTAAACCCATCAATACGCCATGGTCCAAGCGGCATGCCGTGCGCATCGTGATGGGAGGCTTCTTGAAGCAGTTCCTCGCGACTCAGTCGACGTGCGATCGTCTCGGTTCCTCGCACGTCGCTGCCACCCTTTCGTTCCGTCATCCACTGTCCACTTGTCCATGCGATTTTGGGATCTCGCGAGATGAGGCGGCGGTATGCCTCACGAAATACTTCGCTACGACCAGGCTGGTCCCCGTCCGGTTCGCCGAGATGAGCTGCAAGCAGCTTTGCTGCCCCGTCCGTCATAGACGCAGGACACCCTGTCATAGCAGCGCTACCAGACCAAACATGGTTCAGGGCAAATTGATGCACGCGGCGGTTCCAGGTTTTGTTGTCTGTCTCATATGCGACGCTCACGAGGCCTTCTTTCTGACCAATTTCCTTGAGAGCCTTCCAACCAGTTGATGTCCATAGCGGATCAACTCTATTTTCCTCGCCAAATGTGGTGAGCGGACGGAGAGCAGGCGGGTTAGTCTCTGCATCAACACTGTGCTGAAGTACTCTAGGCTCAAGAGCACGGCGAGAGAGGTTGTGGATGGAGTGGCCCACGTTGCCGCAGTTGTGGGGAAGGTATAGCTCCAGAATCCGGCCTAAAACTACATCGTCGGATGAAGAGTGGTTTCCCCGGGCGCTTGTAGTAGTAAAGCTATAGCACGGGGGAATAGTGGGAAGGGGTTGAAAGAACCCTTCTGTGGATGATGAGGGCTTGCTGGGAGTGCGTGCTGCCATGTTGTTGTGTCTCGATCTCTGATTCTCAGGAAAGGCAAACAGCTTGGTGGAAGACAAGAGCTGATATGAGGGATGTACCCTCGGAATGCATGTCAGCAGGTCCCCACATCACTCGGCTCCTGAATTGCAGAGACCGAGGTATCTACGGATACGCAGGTTGGTAGCAGCCACTGGGCGAAA